AGTACATAAAACATATATAATACTTAATGTCAACTAATTCTGCACACATCTACTGAGCACCAACCAAATAGTAGACACTGTAATACATGATGCAAAAATAAAGAAACTGGAGTTCCTTGACTTCAAATACTTCACTGACTCCAGATGGAGAAAGAAGAGGGAATCACTTGCACAGTAAATCTACTTTGTGTCAGGCTATCTGCCAAGCTCTTTGCTTAAATAAAGTCACTATAACCTTAGCAGATAGGTTCTATTGTTATACCCACTTAACAGGTGAGAAAACTGAGGCCCAAAGACTGAGCAGCCTCTCAAGTTCTGACAGCTAGTGTGGGACAGAACTTAAATTCCCACCCGGAACCTCTGGTGCTGTGGCTGCCCTACCATGACCTTAGAAGTGATAAGCTTTCTCCAAACTTGCCTGTGAAAACCCAGCAGGAACAGCGAAGGTTTTACTACATAGAATTCTGTGAGTAAATTGCATGAATCTTCATCAGCTTCATAAGTGACAGAATAGATGATGTCATAGTAGAAACCCCCAAGATGCTTCCAAGACATTTTCAAGTTTAGCTTTGGAAGACACTTCTAAACCCAACCCTCCAGACTCTCGATTTTCCTCAACCTGGTGTCTGGTCTGCCAAGTGCTGCTGTCATCTGCCTCCAGAGCTGTAATTACCATCACCAAGCTGTATGATCATTTACGACAACACTAAGAGAGTCTATGGAGCTTAATTTCCATGGCATTTCTCTCTGCTGCCCTTCCAAGTCTCAGGAAAAGAACTAGGGACAAACGCCAAACATCGTTTATGGATTTAATCACCCACAGAGCACTGAGAATTTAGGAAGCACACAGTGATGCTGATTAAGTTCCTTCATAGCTGTCTCTAGTCTCTTTCTAAAAACCCAGCCTCCAGGCAAACACAAGCAGCGCTCATTGAAGAGTGCCCTATGGCACACAGCTCGAGAACACCGAATGAACTAACCTTAGCTACTCTTTCAAGTTTCAAGAGGGTGGATCTCAAATTCCTTCCCACTGAAACAGTGGGATTAATAAGAGGATGTCAAGTTTGCCAATAAAAGCAAGAAAAGCTTGGAGATACAAATAGAAGACATCACCCTCAAACAAAATCTTTGTAGATTTGATATACCAGTTTCTCTGAACATGAATTTTAAAGGGTTTACTTGATTAAAATAACAACAGATTAAACTGCTAATGCAAACCTTATTTCCACCGGGTTTATGGTATTGGGTTGGCCCAAAAGTTTGTTCATGTTTTTCCATAACATTTGATGGAAAAACCCAAACAAACTTTTGGGCCAACCCCATACAAGAACTGGAAGAGTTTACTGATGTCAGAGTGTTTAATTGGAACCAGGATGCTCTTCCTATTTGCTTCTATTTGCCACTTTCCTCTGCCATGCATCTCCCCAACACGCACTACAGGCTCTTCTTCTTTTTTTTTTTTTTTTAACATTTTTCAGACATAGAGAATAGGCTTATGGACATGCGGAGAGGGGAGGAGAGGGTGAGATGTATGGAAAAAGTAACATGGAAACTTACATTACCATATGTAAAATAGATAACTAGGAATTTGCTGTATGGCTCAAGAAACTTAAACAGGGACTCTGTATCCATCTAGAGGGGTGGGATGGGGTGGGAAATGGGAGGGAGGTTCAAAAGAGGGGATATATGTATACCTATGACTGATTCATGTTGAGGTTTGTCAGAAAACAAAATTCTGTAAAGCAATTATCCTTCAATAAAAAATTAAATTAAAAAAATGAAAAAAACAATAATGTACAGGCTCTTTTAATTATTAAAATTGGGAGAAACAATTTGCTGGACTAGATGAAAGCTCTTTCAGACTGCCATTTGCTCAGGCTGCAACAGCATTTGCCTGATTTAAGTTGATGTCATGTCCCTCTGTAACCTTCTTCCGCTCTGCCTTTTGTGATGTGTCCTCAAAGACAAACATCTTGGTTCCACACACCCATGCAAGAAAAGCAAGTAAAGCCACCCTAAAATACATACTTTATGTCTTTCTTGATGAAAAGCCAGCTTGTTATAATGATAAGCAGTATGTAATGTCTGCGTGTAAAGCATGGCTTACACCACCCCTCACCTCAAGCAAGGCAAGTTAGTCTCCTTCCCATATACTTGATACTCACACATACCACTGATACACGTAAGATACACCACCAACTCATGAAAAACTAGTTTCATTTAAAACTTGACTTCCTTAAGAAAATGCATCCAATGCTTCATATTTCCAAAAGGGTTGATGGTAAATTTCAATTAGGACCCCAACTGAGCCACCAGGATCTAATGACTTGTGCCCTCTCATGTTATAAGAAACCCCCCAAAAGGGCCACAAAATGATATAAAACAATAGATCATTATTTTCTCCTAGTGAGGGGGAAAGTTTTTAGACCACAACAAATGGCTGAACATCTTGTGGGTTTAGCAGCCAAACGAGCTGTCTAGCTTCTGAGTCTGAAATATAGATATTTTGACAAAGTGACATTCTGAAGCGTTTGCAGAATTCCGATGGTGCACGGTAGTTATCGTGACAACAGCTCCTTTATCAAAAACAACTTTAGAAAAACTGCCACCGCTGCTTACACTTCGCTGAGCTAAATAAGAACAAGGATAAAACAGGTGCTGAATGAGAAATGTGATGTCAAGTTGAAAGCAGAGAAGAAAAACCCGGATGGGTCTCTGCTATTTGCTGATTCTGGATCTATTTATCGACCTCTTCAAAGAGAAGGACCAGGGGGCTGAAGGTCAGTGAAGCACTGTGCTTTCTGTACCATTGGCTTCTGACCCATTTAGATTTCTTTACATTCAAACATGCACACATTTTTCCTCCTATTACTCAGAAGCAATCAGCCATAAAATGGCAAGGATCTGCAGTACATTTAAATTAACAGCAATTTATCTGAAGCAAAAAGGAAAACTTGCTGAGTTGAAAAGATGCTAAGGGAACGGAAGAAAGATGCAGCTGCAATCTAAAAAAGCAGATCTTATCGCATTTGTTATTGGAGAAGCAGAAAAGTGCCAGCTTGGTGTCTGCGGGGCACAGTGCCACCTTGGAGACAGCAAGGTGCCAAGGGTGCCAGAATGGCAGCTCACCTTCATTGGAAAGCAAAGCAAACATCCCCGGAGCCTTGTGGGAAACATTTACCGGGTAAAAATCAGAATCTCCTGTGTTCTTATAGGACTAGGTGTCCAGGAAATGGTGGGGATAAAATGCTTTCCTTCAGTTAGACTTGAGCTAGGTGCAATTTTGTTTTATTTTAGCACTTGGCCTGAAACACTGATTGTCCTTACTTGACATCTCTGCAAGACGTCTAGTATCTGTTGGTTGGTGCATCAACCAGCCTTCGCTTTGGGGACTTTTCAATTATATTTTCTAGGTGGATCACTCAGGCCACATGGTTGTTGTGACATGCCCGCGGTCACCCAGGAACAGAATGAGAGCTGAAACATAAACTCAGAACTTCTGGATGGTCAGTCCCTCTTCTTAAATGGTACCACCTGCAACTGTGGCAAAAATTTCCCAACAGTTAAACTTAGATCCTTATCTGCACTCATTCCAAAAGCTGCTTAACCATCCTTCAAACACCCCGTTTCCTTCCCAAGGATGTTCCTTTTGTCTACACACCATCACATCTCCTAAGATCACCTTCTACCAAGCAAGCCTTCACCATTCTCAAAGATCCAGCATAAAAGCCATATCCTTCGAGTAATTAGTTCACTCTCTCTTAACTTCTACAGCATTCTCTTCCATTCACTAACATGTTCTTCTTTTGTACTTTTGCTAAACTTCTATATGTCTTCTGTTTACTTTCCTGCATCCTAGACTTTAAGCACAGGAGGGTAGAGAGAGCATATCTCTACATCTTCTATGCCTTACTTGCCTCTCACGCTACCAAGGATAGCATGCATTCTAAGCCATAGCATAGTAATGTCTAAAACTTTTATTGAACTTTGATAGACTTGGGAACAGAACCAAAATGGAAAGGAGGGGAGAGACAATACAGTGTAGGGTCTGCTGCTTCTCGCTGCTAACTGGGTTAATCAAATCACTTCAAAGCTTCCTGTATAAAATCACACATTTGGTCAGAAGTGTACGGAAGGTTGCAGAGTTAAGACACAAGAACACCCAGTGAGTGCCTCCTGAAGCATTTTTAGCTCTTTGGGGAAAAGTACTAGACTTGGTTCCTTCTAATTCTCATGATGATCAGAACTATGGGGTGTGGAAGTGGGGAAAAGGAAGCTGTTGCCCATTTGTTAGCTGAAGACCAAAAACTAAAGTAAATGGCTAAAGACAGTCAGCAAGGCTTTTAAAGCTCAGGTTTGACTTCATAAAATAAAGTTAAGTTATGAGCTGAAAATTAAAGCAGGAAACACAAAGTTCTTGGCAAAGCCTGAATGTGTAAGGAAAACCAAAGCTCTTGCACAATTAAAATTCAATGATTTGAAGGAGGATGTGATCTGATCAGCAGAGCCTGATGAAAAGTGTTCAAGGCCACAAGCAATCAATCAGGGATTTCACATAGGATGGGAAGCACATCCAAAGACCAAAGCCACTGCAATTATCTGTGGAATAACCTAAAAATGCCATAAGCAGAGTAGGAAAGAAAAAAAAAATTATGGCTTAAGGGGCATTAAATACTCAAAAGGCTTGTATTGCAAACACAGTGAAATACCCAAATCAGTCTATTGTCCTCCTGTGGGCTGTGCCTTGTCTTCTGACTTAGGACAATAAACATACACTGCAAAATCTATAGGGTTACTCTTTGTAAGGTGAAATGAGATCTTCCTAAAGACACTATTTCATGATTCTCAGACCAGAGGCTTACCAATGACTCAGACATTCAATACATAAGCATGGCATTGTCACTTTCATTACAGAAGACCACATACTTGCTGCTGCCAACATAGATTTGTATCTAGATTTGTTTTTGCCAAAATACTCCAGACAATGATTCTTCTTAGTATATGAATCCAGAGTACGACAATGTAGTATCCAAACAGAAAACAAATGACATAAAACCTGTTGCTCAATTAACCTATAAATTTAGAAACCTGCAAGAACCTCAAACATACAGAAAGGAAGTTGCTTAGCTCTGCTCAGTTGTGGATAAAACCAAGGCCCACAGACCAAAATGGGTCTGGAAATAAACTTCAGGAAAAGTAAATAATGCATAAAATAAGCAAGAGAAAACAAGTGGACGTGGGGCAGCCAGAGCTGGTCTGATGGTGATGATGATGGTGATGATGGGGTGGTGATGATCATAGAGAAGATAACAATGGTGCTGATGATGGTGGTGGTGATGATGGAGATTATGGTGGTGATGACAGTGGTGGTGATAATGAAGATGAAAGTAGGAGATGGAAAAAGGAAGAGCAGGAGGAAGAGGAGAACTTAGAGGTAAAGTACTGCTGTTGATGTACTTGGGAGACCTCAAGCATGTAGACAGGGAAGGCCCAATTATTGGAGAGTGAACACAGATATAACAAGGCCTCAGAGTAGAACTATGACCCCATGTCCAAATTCAAGCTGATCCTTCAAAGAAGACAGTAGGTAAAAGTAAAATTTGTCCTGGACCACCACTTTTTAATTAGGCATTCCTAGACATGCTTCAGCAACAGAGTCTGAAAATTATTAACACTTAGGATGCCTGCTAAGAAAGCACCTATCAGGGGTCTTTGGAGTGCCCAGTGTCCCTGCCTATTACTGCAAAGCAGGAAAGTCAGATCCACTAATGGTTCCAATGAAGCAGAGAGGAAGGTCAAACAAATTACTTTCTCTTGAATAGAAGTACCTCATAAATCTCATCTCCATTCAATTAGCAGAGTGCACAAGATAATGAAACCTCAGCTAAGCACCAAATATTCCAGAAGGCAAAACAAAGAGAAGCGAGGTTGATGATCTCTACTATCTGACTACAATAAACATGAATTATCTAAATCTACCTGAAAACAGGATCAAAACACAAAGGTCTTTGAGCTATCTGGAAATGGACATTTTGGGAGGTGGGCTGCATTCGATGCTCTGGTGCAGACAAAGTGAAATTGCCAAGGGCCACATCTTGAGGGCTTAACTCTTGCTCTTCAAGGAGTCCAGTTACTGTGGGCACTCCCCCATCCTGGGATGCTTCCCTCTCTCATATGTTGCCGCCATACCACCTCCTCCTCACTGCCCAGCCCCCACAAGCAAGGACATGACTGTCAGCTGCCCAGGGACCTGCTCCCAGACTATAGTTCTATCTCCATGGCTGCTTCAGGCACATTCTGGAAGCTGCCTGTCTTCCAGATTCTCGTCTGGCCTCAGCCATTTATGCAGAAAAGCGTGTGTGACCAAGTTTAGAAACAGGAGACTCTCATGGGGCAGGAAGGAGGTCCTCCACCTAAACGTGCCCTTTTTCTCTGGGACCTTTTCTCCAGGACAACATAAGCAGAAAGACTTCCATCATCTCAGAAGTTATCTCACCAGAATGAAAAATAAAACATGCCTCTCCTCCAGAACATCTGAGATGCGGTGGGGAACTTGGGGTCTGGAAGGTGGTTCACCTGCCCTTGGTGAGCCTATGAGGGACATGACCTGACACTTTTATGCCAAATTGAAAGTCCCAGATCAGATCCTTCAGAAGTGAATCCAATTCATATTCCAGTGGTCATCTCTTACCCTAGCAAGGTGCATAAGGTAATGGCCCAGACGTGCTCACCAGTCTGAAAGAATACCAGTCCACTGCTGCCACCAACAACAGGATCCATGGTCCAAAAGCATTTCCCCATCAGGTGGTACTCCTGGGATGTTAATGCCACAGCCAATACCTCTGACCACTCCTTATCAGCAGCAGGTGACCCATTTCAAAAAGTCTCAATAATATGGAGAACCTACTCTAATCGCCATAGGAAACATGAAAAGTGCAAAGTCAATCCCATAGACACAGCATTCAGACAGGCAGCCAGCTGAACCCCTGACTTGACTTAACCCCAAAGTTCTGGAAGTCTCCACTGTTGTGACATTCTTATTTGCTCAAAAGAGCTCGTCTTGGAAAAAGGCCATCTCGCCTCACGATCCTGACTAGCCCTGCAGCAATATCCTACAGCAGCTGGAACAGACGTCAACCTCAGTGCTTTAAGCTTGGCAATACCCCTATCTGAAAAACAAGATATTCTCTCTATGCCTCGATTCTTTCATGCAGTAACACAGGAAGTCCCTTCATATTTCCTTGGTTCAGGTACAATTTATACATGTAGAAAACTCTGAATTTTCAAGATAGTGCATTTTTACACACACCAGATTTCACAGTTTATTTTCTTTTTAAAATAAAGTATGCATGGCATACACAGCATACCAAATATAACAGCTTGGTTAAGAATTATAGCAACCATGCCAAGAATCAACTAGAACCAAGACACTGGAAAAACAATGTATTCTAGTTTTTTTTCTTATAACGAAAATTTAGTATATCCAAACATCTGACATTATTTTAAAGAATGCTTTCCATACCTTACAGGAAGTTCTTTAGTAAGTCAAAGTGATTAAAAGGGAAAGGCTATTTACCTTGTAACTCTACACACATTATTAGTTCAAAACAGAAATCATCATCCACGTAAGCACAGAGGCATTCAAAGGACATGTGATGGACAAATGCACTGCCTTATGTGAAAGTTGTAAAAATCTATAATGTCACATAGATGAAAGGACAGAGTATAATTACACAGGCATAGAAGTAATGACCGGATTATAAATTGTTCTTCCGTTCTTCATAATTATGGCCACTTACCATCCACTGTTTAACTCTACAAGATTCTAGAACTTTATTTATAGCTGGCATTGTAATCAGAATCTTAATAAGTACAACTGCCCTATATTTTTATCTTCCTTGTTAATTGCATGAGGCCTGAAAGAAAACCACAAAGATGGCTGTTTATACAGCAAAAAGCAGCCTGAAGCCAGCAGAACTGAGCTTGGATCCTGGCTCTCCTGGCAATGTTGGGGGGGCCTCTCTGAGCCTCAGTTGCCCATTCTAGAACAGTGATGAAATAAATCTAACATATTGAAGTGAGTAGAGTTCATATAAGTACCTAATACTCCCCAAGCCATTTACAAGTTCCTCAGCTCAGTACAGTCGCTAGAATTAGGACATTCAGACAAGGTGCCAAGCCTTGCAAATTACAAACTATCCTACTGATTTAAAAAAAATTGCATTTGAAATAATCTCTCTCCTGACCTTGGTCCACATTCATTGAGCCCATTTAGGACTTTGTATTAAATGCTGACTATGACTTTGAACCAACTAATGACCATATCCTCCCTTAAAGCTTTCTAGATTGGAAGTTTCACAAACACTTGCCCTGTTCCAGGCTGTAGCCAAGAATCTTTCTAGTTTATCTCCCAATTTTATACCTTCTTTTGTTTCATTTTTCAGAGATGCCCAAATGTGTTTTTGAGGCTATATTTTCTCTTACTCTCTCTGACTCTACCTTTCTCTAACCCTGGCTCTGTCTCTCTCTCATGTCTTACTTTCTCTGTATCTCTGGGCCCTTCTCTCATTTTCTCCTGTAGACTGGAAAGAACTGAGGCATATGTTGACATCATTATTTTTGTTTATCGAGTGGAACTTATGTTCTAGATTTTAATATGTTATAATTTTCTCTTTAATAACCTAATTTAGTTTCCACTTTATTGGAAGTTATCTCACTATTATGCTTTTGGAGTTATTTTGTTTTACTCTACTAAGACACTAGGTGCTAAAAACATTCAATTTATAAAAATCTGATTTCCCTATACCTTCTCAAGTATATATGAGTCATATTTAACCCTTCTTTTGGGAAGGGGAATATCATTTGCTTGTTAAGTATTGAAAAGGAAGGTGAGCATTTCTATTTTACAGATAAAAACACAGGCAGAAGTGGGCTCAGTGATCACATTTTGTTTAAGTATACTTTTTTATTGAAGTATAGTTAATTTATAATATCATGTTAGTTTTAAGCATACAGCAAAGTCACTCAATCGCTTGTGAATATATATAAATATATATTCTTTTTTGATTCTTTTCTGTTACAGCTTGTTACATGGCATTAACTATAGTTTCCTGCACTATATGGTAAATCCTTATTGTAAGTATATGTTTCATTCACTGATCATACAGTAATAAGTTACCTTTCACTGTGATGACAGGACATCAAAACATCTTTTTAAATTATCTTGAGTAATTCAGCCTGGCACTTTAGGACACAAAAATATTGTCCAGCTTCATTTCCAAATCAAGGACTTTTGTCATCTACCAAGAGACAAATGCTTCAAGAACCAAGGGGACTTTAAAACAGGTGAAGTCCATCCACCACTGGGGTGTGCTAGGATGCTTTTGTGTTATTCTCTAGGATAATCACATGCTACGCACGATAATAATTGTACTTTCCAGATTTCCATTCACAGTCATGAGCAGTACACTTCAATCCTGCAGGCAACTCAGCAGCCACTGCAAATGATGGCTTTCAACTGCATTTTTCAATCATAGGCCTAAACAAAGTCTTTGTTATAAGCTATCAAGTAAAAGCTCACAGAGGAAACTTTGCTCAAAACGTCCATTTTCACGCTCCTGCGAAACTGTGGTCCTCTCAGTTAGAAGCACTGGGACTGCTGGAGAAGGCTGTGTTGAACCACAGCCAGCCACCAAAGCCACGGGCTGGCCAAGGATCCTTTCCACTCCCCTCAGGAGGTAAAAGGGCCTTTTGATGCCCAAACTGTGACCTCTGGTTGGTGATGCCACTGACTGCGAAGAGGGATTCAGGGATTTCACACCCATGATGGAAGACATCTGAAAACCATTCCATGACTTCAGTTCCAATTCCAGAACCACACACACAGAAAAAATTGCAACTCTAGACCCAGAGTTGCCTCTGAGATGTTGCTCATTTCCTCCCATCTAGCATCTTCCAGCAGTAGCTAAACGAACCAAACCCTAACTAAATTTAACTTAATTGCACCTAAATTACAGTCACAAAGCCCCTTCAGAGATTCAGTCAATTTCTTGAGGGAGAAAGTAAATGTTTAGTATATAATTATAAACTTAATTAACATAAAATAAATTAATTAGGGACTTGCGCTCGTACTGAACACCATACTTTAGCTGTTTATGGTTGTATTTTCCAAGGAAAGCTAAACCTGGAGAAGAGGGCAAACATGTTTTAACTAATTCCATCTCACCTCTCTGAACCCCCAACTGAACTGTCAGATTACTGGTTTATACATGGCATCTAAAATTCTACAGAACTCAAGTGGAAAGAGCTTACATGTTCATCTCTAGGAAAAAAGAAAATTCCCACCCTAAACCATCATAGCTCCACTAGTTCCGAGCTGGCAGTTCACTGAAATAACAGATGATTATTCAAAGCAGAGTTCTCCGTCCCAGAGTATAATGACAAAAACTCACCTAGAGCCGAAATAACCATCTGCCACAGATTTTTCCACATGGTTTGTTTGCTTGTTTGTTTTTTTTTTTTTTTTAATTCTGAGAAAGAATTAAAAAATGGCTTTGGCAAAGAAAGATGATTTCACAAAAATGACCCAGTTTCCAACCTGTGTTGCCTGAACTATTGTCCTAAAATTGCTTTTATCTGACTAAAGAGAGGAAGAGGCTGAGAAGAGGAACCTCGAGGGTGATCTTGATGGCACAGAGTTAAGTTTTTTGGTAGGTGAAAAAAAAGTCTTGTTCTAATTTTCAAGTGTCCATAGTTTCTAGGAACTCCAACCTGCATCTCTCATACTTTTCTCCCTTGACTGATGTGAAGGTGCAGAATAGCTGCTGTGCAAAATCTGACCCACGGGGAGGCAGGAAGAAGAGTGGCTGAGAGTAGGATTCTGACACTAGGATGTGTTTCAAAGTCACACACAATGATGGTGTGATTTTGGGGAGGCTGCCTGGTTCACTCATCAGTAAAATGGAACTAATGATGGTATTTAATGTGGGGTTCCTGTGCAGATTAGATAAGTTAATATACATCAAGTGCTTAGAAGAGGGTGTGGCAAATGATACACATTCAATAAATATTAGATATTTCTGCACTCCAGCTCTTAGCATTTGTCCCTTTGAATCAGAGAATGTGCTTTGTTCAAATCGAGTTGTGAATGTTTACTAACACAGACCTAATATGCTGGGCCTTCTGGTCAATACATGCACCAAGTGGAAAAGAAAGCATGGTACTGATATTGTTAATAAAAGGAATCCCTATGTTCTAGATAAGAAGTGATCTATGTGGTCACAGAATCAGAGAATTGAGTGAAGAAAGGACACTCAGAGACCCTGTAGCCCCTGCACCCTAGACAGTGTCCCCATGTCAGCTCAAAGGCACAGAGCCAGCAAAGCGCAAACTCAGGTGCTGGCTACAGACACAGACCTGGAACAAAATGTCAATGTGGTGCCAAAGACAGAAATAGAACCAGGTTGTTGTTGTATTTTTTTTTTTATTTTAAAATAAATATCCCCATGCCCCAATGGATCTTGTCCGAGAGTTTTGAATGCATTTCTGCTAAATCACCTATTTATCTTACTTTATTTGTATCTAAACATTAAATTGATTTCCACATGGAAGGGAAGTGGGACCCAATCACTGTGTTCAGCTATCACAGAATCACTCATGACCAGTGATGGTCACATGTTTTCTGTGAAGAGCCAAATAGTAAATTTCTTCAACTCCGTGGGACATAGTCTCTGTTACAACCAGCACGTCACTCTAGTGTTGTAACGTGAAATCAGTCATGAGATATGTGAAGGAATGCATTGGCTCTGTTCCAATAAAACTTTATTTATAAAAAACAGATGGTAAGTTTCACCTGACCCATGGGCCACAGTTTGCAGATCTTTGATTAATGCAACCATTGCCTTATATTGCTTTTACCTTAGTTCCTTTACCTTTGCCACCTTAAGTTTCCTCCTTAAATGAACTTTCATACTATTCCAATATTCTTACTATGGTATGATCGATATGCAGTAGAATCCAATTTATGGTGCACTAGAAAGAAAAGCCAGCATGAATTTATGAAAACTCTAAATTATGAAATATGTTTAAAGAAATGCAGCTTTATTACTTTCATATATATACAGGAATTGAAATTAAGCCAATAAAGCATTTCCAGCATGTTTTGGCAAGTAGGGGGTAATTCAGCCTTACCCTAAAGAAAAGAAAAACTTAAATTTATATAATTCATCAACTATTTTCATGAGATTTCTTCTAAAGGGCTTAAAAAGTTTGTTCCCTAAGACAGTGGTCTATGATTCCTACTACCCTGTCTTATTCCACGACTAGACTATTGTCTGATTTGGTGATTCTTTTGTTCACAGAAGATGCCCAAATACTCCACCAAAACCAATTTCTCACTAAATTAATGATCTGAATCAGCCAGAGTTTTTGAACTGTCAGAAAAACTAAACAAATTGTAATCCTATGACATCATAGACTGCCAGCATCTCTTGAAACAGCTGACCTTTGGTAGATATTGTGGGTTGCTATTCAAAATCCATCCACAAACCCCTTTTCCCTTGCCTCTCTCTACCTTTGAGGGAGAAAGGCCAATATTATTGACTTTCCAGTCTCCCTTGAAGCTAAGGTGGGCATGTGTCATAATCCTGACCATTGAGATACAGCAAGAAGTATGGGGTGGGGCGGGGGGTGGATCCTTCTCTTCTTGAATGAAAAGGTCAAACTTCATTGCCTTCTTTCTACCTGGCATATAGATTTGACACATGGAGGCAACACAGTCACCCTGAAACCACAAGGTCATGAACATGAGAAAAAGGTCTACCTGATGCTTCCCAGGTAGTGCTAGTGATAAAGAACCTGCCTACCAATGCAGGAGACCTAAGAGATTCAGGTTCAATCCATGGATCAGGAAGATCCTCTGAAGGAGGACATGGCAACCCATTCCAGTATTCTTGCCTGGAGAATCCCATGTCCAGAGGAGCCTCACAGGCTACACAGTCCATGGGGTCGCAAAGAGCTGGACATGAGTGGGGTGACTTAGCATGCACACAAGCTAAGGATAGCAGAAGGAAAAGGTAGAGAGCCAGGGTCCCTGAAGGCTCCATTAAGTCATCATGATAGCTTTGGACACAGGAATCCTGGCTGTATGAAACAGGCTTCTGTATAATTGACTGCTTGTTTTTGCTTGACACATTTCAAGGAAGCTTTGGGCTTATTTCTGTTATTCTCAGGGCTGGGGACAGGGAGAGGTGGAGGGTAAGGAGGACTCTAAAGAGCCCTACCTACCACCAAAAAGAAGTGATTGGCTTTCAAGTGACTGTGCTGCATCTATGTGACACCTGGAACTCTCTGCAACAAGCCATGTCACAATAGTGTGGGGCTGGGTGAGGAGCCAGGACAGAACTGCCCTAAGGACAGTCACCTGGGGCCCCAGAGAGCCCTAGGGTGGGGGTAGCCAAACCTCCCCCATGCCTCCAAAGGGGTCACAGAAGGACCCCCAGAGAAGAACGATGCCCTCAGTTACATGACCAAGGAGACAAAGAACTTTGGGGCAAGGAAAGGGGTATCCAGAAGAGGAGAACTGAGCAGAGAAAAGATGCAGTGTGAACATATAACTCAGTGAGCCAGGCACTGAGGAGGAAGCATGGGGACTGGCCAGCCATTGGCCGAGTCCCAGGGTTAGGTGAAAAGGAATCCAGTCTACTGAACATCAGATTCAATCCTTGCCCCAGACCTCCCAAGTCCCTCAACAGCCAAGAATTTCCCTCCTCAAATGATAACTCACCTCGACCATAACTACACATCTGTGAAAGGCACAGTTTCCTCACGTGTCTGATAGTGTGAGGCACTTCATGAGTACACAAACTAATTTAAAGTGAGCTTCCTCCTCGTATCAGAGTTAAGAAAACCAGGAGGGTAAATAACATGCCCGGTCTCCAACAAACAGTAAAACACAGCTCTATCCAACCTCAAAGCGTACTTCATGGTACTGTTTTGGTTTGGCTTTCAACTGGGCTCTGCCATTTTGTTAGCCCATCTGCATTGCTTTTTTAACCTGTTAACTCTCTCTCCCAAAGAGAAAATTCAGGAGCCCTCACAGCCTTTGCCCCAACCCAGAAACGGACCAGTGGCCCCCATTTGGAGGTGATGCCTCATTCTTATTTCTAGTCAATTTCCCCCAATCTTCTTTGCTGTAATTTGGTATTTTCATAGATACAATGTCTCCTTTCTCTGTCTCTCTGTCTGTGTGGTTCTTAGGCACCATCAAATGCTGAAGATGAGGGTTGAAATGCTCCTGGATGTAGCCCCAGAGAGACACACATACCAACTGCGACCACCAAGCCTCCCCCTCCTTGCCAAACATGCATCTCTGGACATGAAAAGAAAGCAGCATGAGCTTGTGTGTAGTCAACTGGATTATCTGAAACCTCCCCGGCTTCCACAGCAGGGACTGGCATGGGTTTTCTGGAAAGGGCCGAGTAGCAAAGATTCCCAGCTGTACGGTCTACATGGCGTCCCTCGGAGGCAAGCATGCCACTCTGTTGTTTTAGCAAAAAAGCAGCCATGGAAAATAACACATGGAAGCTGCCATATTCCACTAAAATTTTATTCATAGAAACAGATCTGGCCCACAGGTGTGCCGATCCCTGTTCTGTAGTCATTTCTGTGACCCACACAGCAAGAGGACTAGTTGTCCTCTCTTCCCCTGAAATAGCATGGAAATTATTTCACATTAAAATATTTCAACCTGTATAAGTTTACCTATAGGCTGTACCTCAAATGCCTTCTGGAGAAAAAAAAAAATTCAAACTCTTGTTTCATAAAATAATCATCTGTGTTTGTGACTGGAGAAGTGAATGCCTCAGGGTGGGCAAATGGTCCTGGAGCCACACGGGTCTGTGAGCCACAGCTGGGAGAAGATTCCTGGCCGTGCTCACCATCCCCAACCTTACCATATGAAAAATTCTGCCTCTCAATTAGCAGTGCAGAAAGAATAGTACTTTCATTATAACTCACACTCTGCAATTTAGGTCATGCCTACGGCAATCAATAAAACCCTCCACTTAGATTCTCCATGGTTAATTTGATTCCTCCCCCCACAACCAGCTCTAAACCAGTAGAGTTGTTTTGGTTTTTTTTTTTTGCTTTTTTGTTTTTTAAGTTGTTTTCAATTAAACCAATTTGTCACAGACACCTCTGTTCTCGATAGGGTAGTTTCAATGCAATTTCTTTTTTGTTTTGAAAAGTGGGCAAAATGCATGTGCAAGGGTTAGGTTCCAACCACTATAGTTTGTGCAAAGAGCTACTAGAAATAGAGAACAGGTCACACACCACACACACACACAGTTGACTTCCTTTATAGTTTGATTGTGCACAATTCTGTACACACCTTTGAGTGTGCAGAATGTTAGATCTTGATAGTGGTGCTGATGGTGATGACAGCTCCACTTTAATCCATCATTGGTACATGACGAACACCCTCACACATGTCACCTCAAATCCTCATGGCAAATCCTCTCCCTGTTTACAGAAGAGGAAATGGAGGACTAGAGAACTGATATAGTATCTATTTCACAGGGAGGCTGTGAAACACTGAGGTCAAAAGATAGCTCAGGGTTTAAATCTCCTCCACCTTACTAATTTGTGATGTTGAGCAACTTTCTTAATCTTGGGCAAGGCTAGGTGTTTTCACTTGTAAACGGTGATAATTACATCTATCTTAAGACTGTATTGAAAGAACTAGATGAGAGAATATCTATAAGCTCCTAGATGGACGGCTTAGCACACGCGTTAGTCTGAACCAGAAGAAAAGGCCTCTATTTAACCGCATCCTAGCCTAGGAAAGTGATAATTTCATATGGCTGAAACGATAACAGCTCAGCAAATGGCAATATTGTTGTTACTGCTCCAGGACAATAGCAGGTGGCAAAGAAGGGATTTTAATCTGAATGTGACTGACGGTAGAAGCCAGTTCGTTTTTGCTAACCTAGTGACTTTCAGAGAAATACAATGATATTTCTTACAGAGGGGTCTCCTGATAAACTGAAAATGACATCATGGAACTGGTATGATAAGAACATGGCTGTTTTTTTATTTTACTAAAAGCATTTTATGAACAGGGCAAAGCTATTTCATAATCAGCTTGGTATATCCAAAACTTGTTTGAAGTATATTAATCAAATGTCAGTTGAATAAAAATGTGAACTGTCTCTCTCCTTTAATGTATGAAGGTTCATGATCTACTGAAAATTGGGATCTGCCTCATTAAACAGTTATAATTAACTCTGCTCATAATATTCTACAGTGGAATTGCTGTCGTGGTTGGTACTTAACGCTAGGAGGATAATTCAGCAGCATTTGAAGGAAGAACAATCAGATTTTCTCTTTTCACATTCCATGTTGGGAACTGGGAGTAAACTGAACTTTCTCTTCCCAGGCTGGGGAATCTTAGGGTAAAGAGACTTCCCCTCAAATGCCTGTCTGCTCATTGACAGGTTTAAAAGAAATAACTTTCCATCTGAAACTAAACTACTTGTTGTTTTACCATGTTCCCAGTGGTTACATATGTTGAAAGAGTCTAGACATTCTTCAAGCTTGAGTTACTTTTTAGACAATGTCTTTCAAACTCAGAGACAATTATAAAAATTTTTTCCATAAAATATGAGATTTTAATATCCAGGGTGTTGCCTTATAGGATCTTAAGACCCAATCAGAAAGAGGAAATTCTCCACTTGTTTTTTTTTCTAAATATCAATAAATAAGGATACATCATTCTTCGGGGCAAAGAATAGAGAGGAAATACCATAGTCAAGAACGCATTTGAAAATATTTGCATAGTATTTTCACTGGAAACCACATGTGTTCTCTGGAACTTTTCAGGGTGTCTACCCCCGAGGTGTCCACAGTCAGAAAAACTCTCTGGTGAGAAAGTTTTAAAAGTAACTGTCATCAGCATTGGTTCTGCCTGCATTTGAGTCTGAATGGAACCAAGGATTGCTTTGGAATGTTGCAGAGAGAATGGCCAGTTATTTGACTCTTTTATTTGTTTGTTTTTTCTCTTTTTGGCTGATGGAGACATAAGCAAATATAAGAAACTACTAGGACAAAAGCAGTTAACTCTAAGCGTTAATATAGATATTCTGGCCAGAGTCCTCAAACAATGAAATGACCAAAAGGAACACGTTTGTTGGACAAAGAAGAGTCATAGGCCAGGCCCCCCTTTCATCTCTTGATCACCATTTGGATGCTGGGTTGTACAACCATCAAAGCCCCCTTCATAAGCTACCAAAAGAGCATCACACTTGCTCTGTTCAGCAGAATAAGATGCTTAAATTTCTCTAACAGCAGTCTGTCAGAGAGAACGTTTATTCTAAACAGCTCAACTAAGCCAATATATACTAAAGTAAATAAACAGAGGACCTCCCAAGTGGCTCAGTGGTAAAGAATTTGCCTGCTAATGCAGGAGGCACAGAAGATGCAGGTTCCATCCCTGGGTTGAGAAGATCCCCTGAAGAAGGAAATGGCAACCCACTCCAGTATTCTTGCCTGGGAAATCCCATGGACAGAGAGCCTGGCAGGCTACAGTCCATGGAATCTCAAAAGAGTGAACATGACTTAGTGACTAAACAACAACAAATAAACAGAAGAAATGACATGACTAGGCAAATCCCTAGGGGGCAATGTTTACGTTTAAAAGGAAAGAGCCAATGAAAATATAACACAGAAATAACTAAAGAGGAGACACATGGATTAATAAAACCACGTTACAGCCAGGGTTTTATTTAGCAATAATGATTGCCTTATTGGTGCAGATCAGCAATTCTAAGAGGGATTTCTCCATTGATTCCCTAGTTTCTATCTTGAACTAAATTAGTCTTTCAACTCCTTGAAATTGTATTGTAAACTCCCCTTCATACACCCACCACACTGACCCCCATCTCCTCCAACACACCTATTGGCTCCATAAAACCTTATCTCTCTGCACTACATCCACCCAAACCTTTTAGGATGGATGCATGGGATAGTTTTCAAAACTCTAAAAAAGACTAGCTGACATAGCAAATACCAAGCATGAGTGACCTTGAGGATATTGATCAAGCTCCGTCTCTCTGTTACAGAGGTAGAGAAATGAAGCAGTCTTCTAAATCATTCATGGATTCCTTTTCTATTCTTCTATTCAACTCCCACATCCCTCACCCAAGCCAGGAATCTTCACCCTCACATCTGGGTGGGAAACAGTCATATTTCTTCTGTCATCATGTTTGAGAAGAAAGTGCAATTTTCCCACTACTTAAAATAGCCAAGGAAAAACTTATCCACAATCAACTAAACAACTGTCTTGGAAAGATTTACTAATTTTTGCTCCTTCTGTGAGGCTGATGGTTAAGCCTCCCTTAGAAATCTATTAAGAAGATAGCAAAGAAGAGAACAATTTTTAGCTAAAAGTTTGCTTGACTTCATTTTTCTAGTTAAAAGTTTTCTCTGATAGAATATTGAGATTGGCATATAGATCACTTAGATTACAGACTGAGAGTGTGTCCATGAACTAGGGAGAAACCCTTATTAAAAATGTAATTGGGAGAATGCATTGCCTGGGAGAAACAGAATGTCATATCTACTACATCCATCAACACCCTAATATACAACCTATTTATTACATATCCCTAATATACAAACTATTTATTATGTATCTCCAATACACAAGCTATTTACTACGTACCCCCTAATGTGCATGCTTAGTTGCTAAGTCAGGTCTGACTCTTTGAGACAACATGGACTGTAAACCACCAGGCTCTTCTACTCATGGGATTTCTCAGGCAAGAATACTGGAATGGGTTGTCATTTCCCACTCTAGGAATCTTTCTGACCCAGAGATTGAACCCACAGCTCTTGCATCTCCTGCATTGGCAGGTGGATTCTTTAACACTGAGCCACCTGGGAAGACACATACTCACAATATACACAATATACACAAGCTATCTTGTTAACCAACTACCTAACAAGCTCCTAGGAAGAGAGAAGCAAGAGCTGCTATGGGTAGGAAGACAGCAAAGTGGTAAAGAAGTTTAGGGTTAGGATGAGCTTGATTGATAATCTCTGTCTTCAGAGGGCAAGAAATGGCATCAGGCAGGGGGTGAAGAGAGAAGAGAGACTTTGGGGGCGGGGGGTGTGGAGGGCAGACAGGGGCAAAAAAGCCCTCCTGGATTTAAGACTGCCACCAACTCCAGGCTGAGTTCAGCAAGCCCCGGGGTCACTCTGGGCCTGTTTCCCCAAGAAGGCTGAACCAGGAAGCCTCAGACCCCCATTTGCAGCTCAAACACTCAGAGATCCTGTGATGCAAACTTGTCCTTCTTTGCCACCTCTAGACCAAGCCCTGAGTGCTGGCATTTTCAGTTGGTGGATGCGTGGCAGCTGCCTCTGAGGGCCAAGTAATTGAGGCATTCTGCCTCCTCACTCTGTGCGGCCAACTCTTGAGATGCTCAGCTCTGGGCTATCAAGACCTGGCATGAATACAATTAATTCAGCTCACCTCCCCAGGACTTCTGGCTGTTCCCCAATTGCTCAGTAATTTCACAATCTGCTTGCTTGAAGCCAGTTCACCTAGTGATCACTTCTTCAGGTTGCACCTGAGGACAGCCAGCAGCTGCCATCTGTCCCCACAAGGCTCCCTGCTTCTTCTCACCTCTTCACGTCACAGGGCTGCGGCAGACACCCCAGCCCCTGCCGTGGCAGAACCAAATGGGTCTTCAACTTGCTTGACTCTGGGCTTCTGGGCCCTGATACTACCAAAACGCCTGGGCAACACTTTCTCAGTGGCCTTTTCTCCAGCCTCCTCCAGTTGACCAAGCTGGGGCCTTCAGTACTGGTGAGCACAGGTAAGCATAGACTATTTCTAACTGTCTCTGTTCCCTGGATTCCTCTAACACCTCGGTCAGGCATCTCCAGCCTCCATCTGGCCATTTCCTCCTCTCCCCCTCCACAGTTTTGTGGTCCCCAAGCCTTCCCATTCCTCATCCTCTGGCAGCTCACCCACGGCTACACCGTCCCCCTCCGGGGCTCTGGTCTGTGTTCTCTGGTCTGTTTCTCTCTGCTAGAAACAGACACCTGTTCTGGGAGGATCTGGGTTTATCTGCACCCAACTTGGTAACACTCAAGGTTGACAAAGCCCCTCTCCTACTGAAAGTTCTCTCCAGGCTCCGTCTAGAAACAAGTCCACCCTAGGCTACCTGGCCGCCCTCTCCAGCTCTGTCACCTGCCCTTGGCCAGTCTACCTGGACAATGCTCAACACTCCTCTGTCCTCCAGCATCTTGTGTCTCAGACACACATGACACCGTTCCCCCAAAGCACCCGACCCTGCCCTCATCCTGCAGTTCAAACCTCTACACAGACTTCCCTTTGCCACCTCCCTGCCTGGGGGACTCTTACCTTCAACAGCCAAGCTCAAGTACTTTCTTCTACATAGAACAGTCCTGGATCTCTGAAGCTGGGGCAGAAGAGCTCCCATCTGAGGCCCCAGAACTGACTAGTGCATTAAACTGGCCGCCTCTCTGTACCCTATCCCACTCACCACAAGAGCATCTATAGATATTCTTTAATTCTTACAACACTCACAACTCAAAACAGGTTTTGAGAGGTTAGAAAATTCACCAAAGGTCACACAGCTAGTAAGGGATGGACATTGGAATTAAAAACTCAGTGTTCCACCTAACTTTACACGTGTGAAAAAAAGAGATGCAGTAAGAACATACAGAGTTTATTAAGGCCCATCCATACAGTCATTACTGTTTAGGCAGCCACATTTCACCACGCTCCAGTCCCCCAAGTACATGAGGAACCTGTTCATATCATCCTAATTTCACAGATATATAAGGAACCAGTGCCTTGCTCAGTCCAGCAATCATGTCTCCTTGATCTGAGACTCCAGAGCTAGCCCCATTGTCTGTGTCGTTACACATGAGATCATTTTGCACCAGGCCATTCTGAATATGCAGTTTTCAGCAGCATCACTTCCAAAAATCTGACCAGCTTGGAAACAGAATTGCTTCCCCCTTGGTTCAGGAACAATACTTTAAAAAAAAAAGAGCTTAAAATTAAGGGTGGGTTTTAAAGATGTTTATAAAGAAACCCCTGATTCCTAGAGAACTGCTACCTACACCTTCCCTCCCAGGGTGTCCACAGTTCCTTACAGCAGACAAGGCGTTTGCAATCACAGATGTGTGATGATCTCTGGGAGCTGGGAACCTGGAATTCAAACACTGCAACGTAAAACGTTTCTCAAAAAATAAGCTTATTTCCCACTGTCCCTTTTTCAGTTTTGAACTAGTTTCTTTCTTTTCATAAAGTTTTCATTTTTCTGGTTATTTGACTAAAAAAAGATTAAAAGATTAGCCTAATGAAAATAAAGAAAACAACACATCCTATTTTGGAGAAAAACAGAAAAAGTAACCAGAAGCAGAAACAGAAGGATAAAAAAACAAAAGGGCAGGGGGAACAGAAAAGAATAATGAAAAGAAATAATACTAACACT